GTTGAAGGTAAGTGGTGGTTCTTGACCTTTTTTTGTGAGAGAAAGAGAACAGCCCAAAGAGCAGAAAGGAACATTCTGAAAGCGGTGAAACTGGACTGTGTGTGTCAGCGTTGCTGTGTGACGCTCGAGTGGCTCTGGACTTCTCTCGGCAGCAGGTCGAAGTTGTCTTAAGCCCAGTGTTGCTCAGCTGCTCCATCAGCCTGGAGTTATCTCCATAAAAAGCCACTCTATCAGCCTGAAAGTGAGGCTGAGGCGGCGGTACAGCACTCCATCTCTCACCATTTCAAATGACTGTAACCTACCTGCCACACACTTTAGCGGGGCCGTGTTACATCGTGAGGATTTGTTATCACGGAGATATTGAAGTTGCTCGGCCATGTGATTTCACATCTGTGTGCGAGCAGCAGTGTGTGTGTGACTCCAAGCAGGTGGCACATGGCCATAGATGACTGTGTAGTCTTCTCTTCACTTTTTCTATTTTGTCTTGAATCAATCCCCGGAGTGTAACAATACCTATTTCTCTCTGTATAATTGGACTGGATGACAGGCACATCTGAAGTCAGCGGATGAAAGCCTCTCCTGACAATGGTGTCTGGCCTGTGACATGACTTGAATGAGGAAGAGATAACGCTGACACACATACACACACATATATACTGTAGGTGCCCTAAGACATGGTTAATTGAAAAGACACAAAATCTACACACACACATTTTATTTCTCATTTGCAACACAAATCAGAAGAGCCAGTGTGCAAAAAAAAGGTGATGAATTGATACAATTTGTAGAATGATCTCAGATATACCCTACAATAAATCTCATCAGTAACAAGTTGCAGATTGAATTTATTGCTGTGCACACCAAATTTGTGCTATCAAACTCTGCGTTCTGCTTGTTTTGCATAACGCTAGTGTGACAGACTGAACATTTGAATAGCTGCCAGTAAAACAAATTATTATTCAGTTTCCCCTGTATTCTGCCTTGCCTATTTATATCTCCGTGTGAGGGTGTGAATAGAATCCTGATGCATAAAAACCCACACAAACATGCTAACAGGCTGTGAACAAAACACACTGAATGCATCTCAATAAAGCACTCAAGGAGGTATTTATAAAAACAGACTCCCAAGTTGTGCCACGAAAGCACAAAATGGGTCTCTCTCTCTCTTAGCGTATTTGCTGTTCGCTTTGTCGCCACGGAAACCGCCATTACCCAAACATCCCCATGCTGGTGGACACTTACGTTAAAAGTGTCTCCCATCTCTCTCCCTCTGTCATCACTAAGATCATGCAGGCAAGTAAACATCTCTGAGAAATGGTGCTTCTCAAAAGCCACAATGTTTTTGTTCCAAGAACTGGATCTCATAAAAGGGAATACGCTTGGCTTTAGATGAATTAAAGTCACTGGTGCAACACTATGTGGTGCCTAAATCAATATATTATAAGAAAGAGAGAGACATTTTTCTCTGAAGAGACTATTGATTTATCTCACCCAAGTTGGCTATATTCATACTCTCTAATGACACCCTGTGTGACCCATGCTATGGCAAAGGTCTGTGTACGTATGGAACAGGTAAAGGAGTATATAATAGCAGCCATAAATCAATATGACGCGATGTCTAAAAGTGATTGGTTTTCTTTATCTCCTCTAAATCCCCTTCACAACCTGAACATGGCCTCATGGAGAATGCATTTCTCAAACAAAAGCTTAAAACTATTATTTGAAACAATGATTTATTTAACTGAAAACGTTTTGCAGACTGCAAGCAGAAAAAACTGCATACTGGGAAGATGTTTGTGAATAAATTAGAGCAAACCATTAATCATGCACCAATTGAATCATATAAACAGAGAGCAAAACGTTTTTCTCAAGAACAATTTCGAGTTTTATCTTTTTAACAATGGCTTATTTATAGTAATCACTGATAATGTGCTATGTGTGTATGCAGCAGGTGGACCCATTGTCATGTGCATGGGTACAATTCACTGAAACTCAACAGATAATACATCATAAATACTGAAGCATATAAAGTTACATTTATTTTGAGGCTGCAAGAGCTGGTTCAATTCTTTGGGCAGTTCTGAAGCTGCTGCATTACAATGGATTTAATGAAATGCAGCTTTCTTGTATTTTGCACCTTCAACATTCTCTACAGACAGGACCAAATACCATGAATACATACATTAGTATAAGACTGGTGATTTTCTATATTGTGATTATTGTTAACAACAGCTTGATTACAATGAACATGGGAACTGTATAGTTTATTCAGTCACATTTACATTGGGCATCTGGCATAGATACCCACTAGCATCAAAGGTGTATTACAGTTTTTCTCGATTGCTAACACACTAAGATTAAACATAAAGCACAATTATTTTAACTGACACTCAAAGAGCAAAACATTGGCTCAAATCTCCAAAACTCTAAACACGTTTTCAGCTTTTCACACAATTTGCAAATCAACATGGCACTTTTTGCAAACCACTGCACACGTTTCTCCACGTAAGACACAGGAATCTGACATCAAGTCACATGTTAGCAGGTTTAAAACACCGATATTCAAAATGCCTCACACATGGACCAATGATCAAGAAACACGTTCCACCTGACCAAACACCTGATAGCATAATTGTTGGCTCATCAATCAGGATGTTAGCACTACAAAAAGACCACAGGTGAGTACTTTCTTACAGCAGCAATGGAAGCCAACATGGAAGTAAGAGGAAGAGTGAGAGGAGGAGGAATGAGAGGTAGAGCTGGAGGGAGAGGACGTGGACAAAGAAGAATACTCTCTAATGAAATGAAATGTTATCAACCATGGTTTGACGATGAGAGAGGCTGGACAGAGGGTTCAGCCTAATCTAAGGCGATTTACTGTTGCCTCTGTAATTCGGACACTTAGACTTGAAAACAGGTTAGTTACCAGTTTATAGCTCTGCATAATTCATGATATATCAGTGCTTATATCTGTTGTGGGAAACGTATTTTCTTCATTACTGTAATTTAATTGTTGGCTTGTTGCATACTATAACTGTACACAAATCCTGCACAATGTACTGTGGTAAACTTACTTTTATGCAACACAGACACTGACCAACCACTATATCTTTGTTGTTTATCTGAAGGACTGAGAAACAAAGAGGCGCAGGTGGAAGGCTAAGGATTTCCAATGAGGCACAGGAAGCAGCATGTTGGCTTCCATTGTTGCTGTAAGGAAGTACTCACCTGTGGTCTTTTTATAGTGCTAACATCCTGATTGATGAGCCAACAATTATGCTCCCAGGTGTTTGGTCAGGTGGAACGTGTTTCTTGATCATTNCCACACACACACACACACACACACACACACACACACACACACACACACACACACACACACACACACACACACACACACACACACACACACACACAGAAGTAGAGTGGCATACCCCTCAGCGTACGTAAGATGTATAAGAGTGTGTTTTTATTTGCCAGTGAAAGTATGGGTGTTGTTTACCTTTAGCTAGATACAAACAAGGCACACGCCATCAGCTGTGCCGTGACTTGTTTGAATGCAAATTGGAAGCAACTACCTACGGTTACATGTGAACATAAATGTTTGTGTATCTGTGTGGGACATAACAGTTGCTCCCGTGCTCTGCCTCTGGGCCTTCTGGGTAATAGTCTAACATCATGTGACATGTTGAAGTGAGACTGACTGATGTTACTGATGACTTCCTTCATTCTCATATATGAGATTCTCTACTTCTTATAGTAACTCGCCTTTGGTTTAACTGGTTTATATCATTTCCTTTAAGTCTCTTTCTTCATCCTTTCGCTTCCTTTCATTGGCTCTCTTTTCAACATCCTTCAATTTGACTTTCCTTTCTTTTAAAATGTTTTTCTTCCACCTTTGCTTTGCTCTTCCTTCCTATCCCTCTAGCTTTTATCCTTGCTTATTCCTTTTGTTCTCTTACCTTCTTGTTATTCGTACTCCCTCCCTTCCCTCCTTCCTTCCTTTCTTTTTAATGTTACTCTTCTTCCTTCGTTCAGTCTCTTCCTTCCTATAACCTTCCTTTCTTCTACTTCCACCACTTGCCCTTTACCTGTCTCCCTTACTTCCTCCTTTCCTTTTTGGCTCTCTTTTCTTTCCTTTATTAGCTCTCTCTTCCTTTATTTGGAGACTCCTTTTCGATTATTGTTTACCTTTCTCTGTTTCCCTCTTTCCCTTAATACTATTTCATTCCACCAACTACCTTCCCTTCATTTCCCCATCTTTTCCTCCTTCCTTTATTCTCAATTCTCTTTTTCCTTCCTTCCTATGTTCTCTTCCCTTACATCATCGCTCGCTGCTTTCTCGCTTTTATACATGCACCCTGTCATTATACTTTCTGTTCTTTCTGTTTGTCCTTTCTTGCTCCTTCATATTGAGGTGCACAGTTGACATCTCATAACAAAAAAACGAATCATATTCATACACTTATGAATGCATGGATAAATGCCTCAACACACACATACACACACAAAGTACCACACACATTCTGAGCCGAGCACAATGAGGCCATTTCAGAGGGATAAATCAGCTGAATTGGAAAGGTTCCGTCACCACGACACACACACACACACACACACACACACACACACACACACACACACACACACACACACACACACACACACACACGTGTTTGTGCATATTCCTTCAGTGCGGTCAGCATATCCCTCTGCAGGGAGAGATACAATTCCTGCAACTGACAGGAGAAGAATAAGAGGCTGTTGACTGCCAGTGTGTGTGTGTGTGTGTGTGTGTGTGTGTGTGTGTGTGTGTGTGTGTGTGTGTGTGTGTGTGTGTGTGTGTGTGTGTGTGTGTGTGTGTGTGTGTGTGTGTGTGTGTGTGTAAGCTGTCTGGTCTTTCAAGCTCGTTATTAAATATCCATGAGACCATTAAGCTAAATAGATGAATGAGACTCTATTATTGCCAAACACGCACACACACGCAAGGACACACACAAGGTCTACTGACTAGTGAATATATGAGACTCTTTCTGATAAAGAAAAAATCAAAAAAAAAGAAGAAGAAAATAAGAAGCAAAATTAAAATTGGAAAAACAAGTTTAGTGACATAAAAGTATCTCGTTGTTAGTTTGAACCCTAACCCTTTCTTCTCAAAACATGCCAATACACACAGTATTGTTTTTCATGTGCATCTTTCTATTTTTTTGGGAAACTTTTTTCAGTTCTCCAGATATAAAATACATTTGTCTTCACTAACAATAAATATAAGACATCATTGGCAGAGGTGTATTCACAAACTGAAATACCATATCTCTATATGAAAAGATCAATTGATGCTGTATCCGAAAATAAGGTAATTAAGGACATAAGGAAATGTTTTAAAATGTGTCAGCGCAAAGCTACTAATCTCTGTACTACTGTAATACCATCAAAAGTAGGACTCAAATTGTTTGCATTATTCCCCCAATTGCAAATCTTTATCTCTTAAGAAAAACCTAAACTGTCAAACGTACCACTACCAACTACTTCAACCCTATTTCATACACATTTCATTTCATTTCTTTCTGTTTTATTTTAACCAGAGTTAAATCTCCTTTCCACATAGTGTAAATATTACTCATATAATATATTTTGTTGGCTTCCTGACCTATCTAAAGCAGCAGATTTGAATGTAAATGAATCATCGTTTGTGTTCAGATTTCATCATTAGGCATGTTATCCATCACTGACTCTTGTTTTTGATATCAAATACTCTTGTGCACTCTCATGTAACAGGAAGCATGGCCTGGACTGACCGGTGTTATCTTGTACAACAGCGTAATCACCCAGACTCACACACACACACACACACACACACACACACACACACACACACACACACACACACACACACACACACACACCAGAGGAAAAGAGGAAAGATTGCCTTTCTTCTGATAACTATCGTTCATCTCATCTTACACTGTACCCCCTATACAACCACACACACACATATACACACACATGCTCATCTTACCTGCCTTACTATAAAATGTACCCCCCTCAACCAACATGAGCTCACCACATGTCCTCACCTTTAAAACCCATCAATCAATCTTTGTCTGTGTGCGTTTGTGTGTGAGTCTGTGTGTGTGTGTTGTTGACCATTATAAAGTGTACTTCCTCTTCTCCAGTTACCCCCTCCTGTCTGCTGTACCTGCTTGAATAGTCTTGTCTTAATAACCAAAGTCTGCAAAAGTAACTAGTAACTACAAAGTACTTACATAAATAATTGATAACAAAAAAGTAATGACACTTCCATGGTTAAATGGGATGTAGGAGAAGTTTTTGGAAAATAAATGATTATGTATGTAATTTATATTGTTGGGAGTTTAAATATATGTTATTGTAGGCCAAAGGTCACTCACCACCAGGTTTCCAATGACCATGACCAGCATGAAGACGAGTAAGCAGAGCGGCTGCCCGGCGACCTCCATGCAGTCCCACATGGTCTCTATCCACTCGCCGCACAGCACCCTGAAGACGATGAGGAAGGAGTGGAAGAAGTCCTTCATGTGCCAGCGAGGGAGGGTGCAGTCCTTCGAGATCTTACACACACAGTCCTGCAACGAGAGGGAACAGCGTGAACAAACACTTTCTCCCCACTTAAAAATTTATTTTTGTTATTGATGAACACAATTATCCACAAGTATTGCACAAAAGAAAATAATAATAACACACTAAAACCACAACAACATTTTTCCTGTCAATATGCATTTACAAAAAGGTCAAAGGTCAGCGCTGACCTGGTAGTTTTTGCCGAACAGCTGCATGCCGACCACGGCGAAGATGAAGACGATGATGGCGAGGACGAGCGTCAGGTTTCCCAGAGCGCCCATGGAGTTACCGATGATTTTTATCAGGGTGTTGAGTGTCGGCCATGAGCGGGCCAGCTTAAAAACACGAAGCTGGAAGCAAAGGATTTTCAGAATAAGAGTTGTTCTTAAAATAAATGTAACCAATAGAAATGTTACATCAGTAAGATAAGAGAAACAAAAAATGTGGACACAGTAAACCAACGAGAAAAAAAAAATGATAAAGAAGGTACACGAAACAAAAGAACGACAAGGAAAAAGAAAGAAGCAAACATATAATGTGTGTGTGGACGAGAGTATCTGTGTGTTTGCCTCCAGCAGACGATTACAATACCCAGAGTGACACTGGGAGAGATCGACGCAGACAGACGAAGACAGGCTTCAGGGATCTGTGTGTGTGTGTGTTTGTCTTGATGTTGACAACCATCGTCCTTGTCTTGTGCAACAACTTGTCTGCAGCTGAACAAAAGCCAGCATGTGTTTTAATTATCTTAATTGGTTGTAAAAGTATAAATACAAAAGCGTTAAATTCTCAGTTACAATTTTCCTTCCTTCTTAATTTTACTCAATTTAAAGAAAAAAATCTTCAAACTAGCATCAAAATAAACTTTGAGTACCAAAGAATGAGCACTCATTATGCAGAATGGTTCATTTCTGAGCCATTTATGTTCATCACTTTTGGGTATATGTAGAATAGCCTCTCCTATAATGTTCTGCTACTGATTGAAAAGGTTTGTAAAAAATGGGTGCATGTTTTACAAACTCAACTTAAAAATGTCTGATTTTGAAGGACAGCTGAAAGAGAATACGTCTGTGTAAAAAGGTGTTGAGGAATAATATGAGTGTGTGTGTGTGTGTGTGTGTGTGTGTGTGTGTGTGTGTGTGTGTGTGTGTGTGTGTGTGTGTGTGTGTGTGTTTGCAGTCACCAGTCTAAAGGAGCGGAGCACGCTGAGCCCCTCCACGTCCGACAGGCCGAGCTCCATCAGGCTGAGGCAGACGATGATGCTGTCGAAGATGTTCCAGCCCGTCTGGAAGTAATAATATGGATCCAGAGCGATGATCTTCAGCAACATCTCTGCTGTGAAGATCCCCGAGAACACCTGACACACACACATACACAAACACAAACCGTTTATATTCAGGTTCCATAAGAGATCTGAAATCTTAGTTTATGACGGAATTGTTTCTTTTCAAATCTGGTACAAAGATGCTTAAGCCACATTAACACACCTATTAAATACTCAAAGCTTTTTCACAATTGGGAAATCACTGTGTATTTTGTAAAGATTTGTTACCTATAATCTTTGATTCATAATCAAAATCTGTCTGTTCGCATTCTCCCTTTCACAATAAAAGCCTTTGGCATACTGTTTACTACATCACTGCCGACCAGTGAGCATTTTGCTCAGAGGCAACCAAAATAACTTACAACAACAAAAACACGGTAATGTTCACTGTCGAAACAGAGAAGGTGAAAAAGAGAAAGAGGGAAATTGATAAATACCTTTCTCTTTCAACTGAGTTACATGAAAGCAACACCTGGTTATTTATTAATACTACCGGATGTTAGAGAAGAAAACGCAAACAGTAGATACTTTACACAAAATGCTGAAAATAAGTGTGAAAGTAAACTCCACAACATCCGGTGAACTTGCTCATTTTTAAAGAACTTTCAAAATTGTGAACTAGTTAATTTTAACGTGTGTGTTCTGGGCACAGGATGTTCTGTTTGCAGTTCGCAAAGGCAGCCATGTACCTGATTTTATTTTTTGAAACTCTGATTAATTTGAACACTCTCCTCAGCGGTTTGATCCTTTAAGCCTCTGCAGACCTCAGCGAACTGGGTGTGCTTCCTCTGCTTTACATCATGTGTGTGTGTGCGTCTAAAGAGTGTGTGTGTCTAGCGTGCATGTGAGTGTGTGTCCTCGCAGCAGCAGCCTCTTCCTGCTTGTTGTTCCAGAAACAAGAAGATTCTGGATGTGACACAGGCTACGTGACACACTGTGTGTGTGCATGTGTGTCTGTTTCTAAGCATGTGTGTGTTTTACAAATAGTGTGTTTGCATGTTTGTGTATGATTGTGTTTGAAATGTGTGTTTTGCAGGCAGTGTGTGCGCATGTGTGTCTTTCTCTTCAAATGTGTGTGTTTGTTTCACAGGCATTGTATGTGCAAAAAGCAGCAATTCATGTGGTTCAAAGATGTGACTAAATCTCACACAAAAAACCAGGATCTTTCAGGGGTTACCTCTATTTAACACTACACACACATACACACAATCATACACATGCACACACACCTACACACGCACACACCCATTCACACACACAGATGATCCTCTTACGGGCTCATTAACTCTGTAGTGCATTGATTAGCTCCTCAACAATCACGCTGTTATTATTACCGGCATCAGGAGAGCCTCTCTTATCAGGATGTGAGTTTGAGGAGCTCTCAGATGGAAAGGTAGAGGGAAAAGGAGAATGTGAAATGAATCAGCCTCAGAGAGAGTGAATTTTAAACCAAATAGAAGCAGGCATGTCAGAGTGTTCCTCACATGAATGCAGTGTTACTGATCAGTGCACAGTGTGTGTAACAGTGTGTGTGTAAGATTGTGTTGATGTCAGGCGTAGTGACGTTAATGAAGTTAAACACAGTTCAGCTGTCAAATATCAGCAGCAGCCTCTGGCACACACACAGATACTCCAGCTATCATATTATATAAGTATTTTATAAACTAAGAGCAGATGTTTAGGGGTTTATACGATTTGGAAAATATTGCAAAAATGATATGAGATCTTCTTGAATTAGATTTATTTTATTTTATTAATTTTTGAATGTCTTTTTGGTGTGCCACTCAACACTGTGTTGCCTAAAAAGCATTTTTAAGTGTTATTCTTTAACAATTCTGGAATCATGCTTGAAATGTTTTTCATCTGCAGGTTTGAATTCAAGCAAATCAATGCAATTTAGCAGCGTTTAACTATTCAAAATGTGAAACTGATGCCGCGTATACAAATATTTCTCTTTGTTAGATCTAAATGTTCTTGTTGGGGAGCAACAATAACTACCAAGTATCCACATAAGAGTTAGGATGAACTCAGCACAAACACACAAAAATAGGGTAGCCATACTACCAAATAATTCAAAATGGATGGAAGACTTGTTTGAGAGGGAATTAAAATCTTTGCTATTTTGTACATATCGTTATTTATGACACACCTTAAGTAAAAGAACTTTGTGTTTCTGAGGACATGCTGATGCAAGTCTGAAACTCAGAGTGATGACTTTCAAATTCAGACACAGAGTCTGTGTGTGTGTTTCTGCAGAGGCAAAGTCTCTGATTCACTGACTGAGGGATGACAAATACTCTGACCAGCTAGTGTGTGTGTGTGTGTGTGTGTGTGTGTGTGTGTGTGTGTGTGTGTGTGTGTGTGTGTGTGTGTGTGTGTGTGTGTCACTGGCTCACACATAGGGGATGTCAACATCAGCACTCACTATTAACAGTAACATCAGCAGAGAGCGGATGACACAGACTCTGTGTGTGTGTGTGTGTGTGTGTGTGTGTGTGTGTGTGTGTGTGTGTGTGTGTGTTAATATATAAAGCAAGGGAGGGTGTTAGTGCGTGGGTGTAAATCTCTGTCCGGCAGCACGTTGGGATGGGTGTTTGGGGACTGGTTGGAGAGCTGGCTCACAGGAGCTCAGATTGATGAAGTGATGGTGATGGATGGAGGTAATAAAGGCCTGGATGTCCTGTCTGCTGCCAGTGATGAGGCTGGTATGAATCACCCGTCTGGGGCTGCTGAACATGACGCTGCTCAATCCCCAGGCCCTCCACCCTGCCACCCCACTCCGTCCCTCCATCTCTTTATCTCTCCGCCTGTTGACTTACCATCATTATGAGGTGATTGCTGTCTGAATGGAACAAAGCAGAAACATTCACCAGCATGCCATTACTGTATCAATCTCTACCGATGCATACTATGAATTACATTATAAAGCCTGTTTATCCGTCTCAAAAAACAGTCTGCACAGTTCAAAGCGCTGCACACTGTTCATTAATTTTGTGTCGAAACATCACTTGTTGAATGATTGCGAGCCCTGCTAGAAAAAAAAATCTAATCAACTCAGCCACTCCTCATGAATAGGGCCATTTGAATAAAGAAGGGCATCTGGAATTGCAGTGTTTGTGTCAACATAACAAGTTAATGATCGCAGATGATAATTGGTAGTTGGATGCTGGGGCGCCGTGTTGTGGCCCGTGAGCTTCAGTGGCAAGGACCTCCTGTGATAAAAGAAGCAGCATGAGGGCTTTCAAAGTGGCACGATGCTGTAGGGAACACAATTCATCAAACACTACATGAATATTCATCCGGCTCTCCGTTTCCTCCAGGGCTGGTGGAAACACGTCTGTATTAAGTCTCTTGTATGTGCTGCGGTTTGAAGACACCTGAACCTTATGGCCTCTCATTACCGCACTACGCTCTCGCTGCCCCACCGTCAGCTGCCTGCCAGCCAGAAAAGCCATGCTTCATTAAAATAAAGAGGAAATTCTTTCGCTCCATGCACTAACAAGGCAGAGGTCAGGCAGTCAGATGATTGTGAATTCACCCCTCTGCACACGTTTCTCAGAGCTGGTGATTGTGATTGTGCTCGCTCCATAAAGTGTGCACAGACCAAGCAGGCAGATGGATTTTTCCAGCATGTTGTGTGCTTTCTGCATGCAACCAGTCTGAGGCTTGTTGTTTGCAATTTAGGGAACATTTGCTGTGTCTCTTCCCAACCCGCGCTTCTCCCTGACAGGAGCCCAGACCTCCTGGATTGGTTTCTGGGGCATCTTTTCAGCGCTTTATCAGACCTGCAGGCTTCTCAGCGCTGTCCCCAGATTACAGTTTAGGGATGGGGCACTTGACTGACAGGCCTTGGCCTCGCCAGTCCCTGGAGGGAGAGGGATTTGTGATGGCTGCACTGACTCGCACTTCTCTTACAATTTTCTCCAGGCTGGTTTCAGACTGTCAGGCTGAGAGAAAGCTCTCTCTGCATAATTCATTAGATCTCCTCTCTTTTTCACTCTTGGCTGCTATGTGGCAGGCACCGTATCCCCATTGTTTAAGAAGAAAGAGTAATAGAGCTTGTCACAATATGTTAACATAGTTTATTGTTCAAAGCAACAGTTTGGAAACAACTTAACCTCATTCAAAACAGGCTATTCTGCATTTTCAGTGTAGTATAATTATGGAGGGAACCAGATTCAGGTGACTCTTAGGACAAAACAACCACTAACACATGCAGGTTTTATGTATAATTGGCTAACAACTTAAACAAATATGTATTAATGATCAGCAGCTTGCCTGCTTAAAACTAAACAAAAACAGCCTTCAGCTATACAGGTTGCTGCTACACCAAGCATTGTTTTCTAGCCTATTATCCCAGCCCTACCTGCATATGACACATACACAGGCCTGTCCTTTAGAAGCTTGTATACTGTCTCTAGTCATGATCTAGCTTGCATTTATTTCTTGGAAATCTGCAAGGGAAAATATCTCATATTTGATGCTACATGACATTCCCTTTCACAGAATGTGACAAAACAAGCGCATCCTCCAGCACACGATGCTGCTGCACGTTGAAGCCAGAAGACGTCCTCTGTCACTGTGGCAGAAAATAAGTGCTTGAAGGCAGAGACTTTGTATGAAACTGTGTAGATGCAGTTTGACCTCTAAAACACCAAGCGTGTGTTTGATACCAAAAACAAAAGATGACAAGTGTTTTTAATGATGTTGTCTATTTGTTGAAATGGTTTCAAATGACACACTGGGAGTAACGTTCAAATGCAGTCAGCAGCGTTGTTTAGAGGCTACACTTAAAATATTAAATGTACAGGCAAATTAAGGATTATACATTTCTTAATTGTTTAGTTGATTAGATTGCATTGTGTAATAAACTGTTTGTTTTGTGTTCAGTATCAGCCTACTCATTACAAACAAGCACATAGCTAAACTACCCCACAGATGTCCCTGCTGTGAATTGTCCTCAGAGTTAAAGCTAAAAGAAATCATATGAGGAAAACAAAGAGGAGGGAGTAGCTTTCTGGCTTAAGTTGAAGCAGTAATGATACAGATTTGTACAGACCCTAATAGTATTTTAATGGACAATACCAGAATTACTGGATGTTTTGAAAACGTTATATTGTCTGTTTCACAACATTTTAGGACAGTTTATAACATTTTGATCATCTTCTGTATCTGCTGCAGGTATGTAACTATGTGTATGTTGAAAACGAACACTTTCATAATATAAAGTAAGTAACTCACAGTAAAGATGGATTTAAACGAACTTGGATCTTGCTTTGATTGACAGAAGGGTCATCATTTGACCTTTGAGTATTTTCTATTAGCTCTATGATAATAAAAAAAGAAAAAGAAAAATGCAATGTAATGTAATAATACAGAAATACAATTTGCCCAGAGAACGTGCTTTACGTCTGTTGACATGCAGGAAATAGAGGGGAAACAAAGTTGCACATTAATATGAAAACTAGAGAATGCAATTCCTGAAGAAATTGCTGGGAATGCTTTATGCTGAAAAGCTGATGCTAAACTGCTATGCTGAAATGTAACGTGTAAGAAGAAAGTAAAGAATCTAGATTGAAATGATACATGAACACTGGGGGCTTGAATGTGTGATGAGAGAAGAAAAGAAAGTAAAAAGGCTTGGAAAGCAGAATATTTGAACTGCAAACTTTTGAACTAACTTGATGGCGAATGATCTGTCGCCATGGCAATGGCATTTGATGACACAACATAGTACGCTTAGAGGCGTTAATGGCTGCATCGTTACCAAACCTGTGAAGTTTTGGGCCATTTCAAGCATGTTGTGAGAAAACCGTGTTTCATAGTGAGCATTGTGTTGCCAAGGCAACGGCATTTGAAGAAATCTTAAAACTTTCATGTCTTCATGGCTGGACTGTTAGCGCACATGTGAAGTTTGAGCACTTTTTGACCATTTTCATAGGAGATATAGCAATATCGTGTTTTAAGGCGAGGGATGCGTTGCCATGGCAACAGCTTTTGAGGAAAACTCACCAATGGCACATAGACATGTTGAAGGCTGGACCATTCTCCATTATCTGAAGTCTGTTGCTCGGAGCATGTCAGTTGGAGTTATGACATCCTCGTGTTCCATGAAACAGGTGTTTATATTTGAGCTAACGACGTGTCCAGAGATCAGAGGTTTCCATGGTGATGGAGTAATCTGTGAGAGTAGAGCATTTGCATTGTTCTGAATGAGAGATAAACCTCTTACATGTGAACGTTTTGTTGAAGAACCGTAACAGATATCGGTGAAATTTCAAAGCGTGAAGCATGTCAAGGAACTTGAGCATCTGAAGTGTGCTTTTTGTGTACTTTCGGGTTAATAATGTGGCCATTTTGGCAGATTAACTAAAGGTGTGCGGCTAATGCTGTGAGCAAAGATCAACTTACATTTACAATTGGCTTTAATGGAGACATGTTTAACGTTTTTGTCACTTCATGCCCTCAAGAGGCATTTTGTTTAATTATCTTTGCCTAATTTTTTTTCATTTTTCAAGCTACGAGATGTTTTCCTACGTTTGTCATGACAAATGATGTCTCAGGAGTGTAGGGTTTGGGAATTATGGCAGGTTTAAAATTTCAAGCTGTCCTCCACTCTAGCTTTGAGATCACACACCTTAACGAGCTGAAGGCCTCTTTACCAAGGTCTGAACAACGTTTAATATTTCTAAAAGTATGAACCAGATTTAAAAGTTGTTTAACACGAATAATGTCAGAAAGATGTATAACATTTTAAAGTTGGAATGAGGTTTCTGAGTGAAAGTATGAAGGAACAGTTAGCAGTTGAAGTCGCATGAAGATTGTTCAAGTCTGAAGAGTTTTTCCATTGACTTCCATGTTAAAAATGTGATGAATTAAGGGATGTATTATTAAAGTTATGAATAAGAAAAGTAATAGCCATCGATATGTGCAAAATAACCCGGCGTAATAATAAAGAATTCGCATAACAAGTCAGCATTCCAACTAAATTAAAGACCTTCTACAAATGTGATATTTGTGTATGAAGTTTTATTCCAAAGGGAAAATCCCTAACCCTGCTTTTGAAATAAGATACTGAATGTTTTTAATTACCTTCTAAAATCCTTGTCATTAATGTACCAAATACTGTCTTGTATAAATCTTATTTGGTTAAGAGGGTTGTCAACCTCACTCCATTCCAAATCCGAAAATTCCCCTTACATTGTAAAGTCATGCTGAGGTCAATTGAGGTGAAGAGTTGATTGAGGTTGCAGAAAATATCTATAGTAACCTTAAAATAATCACACCAAAATCCTATATGCTCTTGTAATTATAGACCCTTTCATTCCAAGATGGTGCCATTTCAGAGCTGTGTTCAAAAAAGCAGTGTCATGAAGCCGAGTCCCAGTATCTCTGATTACTGCATCCGTCTGTTTTATTTGATTTGTATACTGTATTACAGTTGTTATTTAATGGCTTTGTAGCTGAAATGGCTTATATTGTTTCTTTTCACACCAAATGGCAGTTTACCTGTGTCATGTAGGCATAATAACATTAAACATTTCCTCACGTTGAACCTGCAAACAAACTTTCAAAGGATGACGAGGTAAGGTGCTTGGACATAACAGAAATCAATGATACATATAATTAAAGTTGCTCAATTTCTGTGGGGAGCTTCACAACACAAATATTCCCATAATACCAGGGTTATCTTTGTACCAGCTAATGGGCTTCTTTTTTTTTAAAGTTCTATTGTCTATATTGTTCTATAACTTAAGAGACAGAGTTTTCAAATGTTTATGTGAATCTGTTCAGCTGAAGCATGCCAAAGGACTGCTTCTTTAATGAGTCGCCTTTAAACTCATCTTTATTTTAATGATACAACATGTATGACATATTGGCTGGTGAGCCTTATTACCTGGGAAATGTTAGCTTTAACAAAATATCTAGTAATTAAAGTTTTGATTATCTTGGTAATGAAGTTATCTTTTTTGTAATAAACACATTATTTGTTTAGCATGTCCATCAGTCACTTATATAAATTCTACTGTTTTGAAAAAAAACTGATGTTTTTGCCTTGAATCCTCAAGTATAATCAACTTGACAATGCATGCTAGATTTCTTCTCACCAAAAGTGACTCCATGTGCATTTGAAACAATGGGAGTATTTCTTCCCAGAAACCAGTCTACTTATTTTCTCTCTAAAATGAGCATATTTAGTTATTTATTTTGAAAAAACATACTGGACTTGTAAAAGCTAAATCCAGGCTGAGTCTGTGGTCAGGGTGTAGAATAGCCCCTTCATAGATGTTGAAGTCTTTTAGAGTAAAAACTGCCTAAATGAGTGAACAGTGCCACCTACTGGGCAACACTGATAAGATGTTCAGACATAAAGCAGAGACTGTAACATAACGCATTCAAAATGTTATAATACTGAACATTACTATAAATATTTATATATTTTTTTTATCATGGTCGTAAGGAAAAGATTGGAGCAAACACATGTGCAGGGCTTGTTGAACTCTAAATTTAGAATCAATTGTAGAAAGAAAGACAACGTTAGGTTCCTCTTTACTTTGTTCTTTATTACACATTAAATAGGAGTGGTGAGATTCATGGCAAAAAATAGACTCATTTGAGATCAGATCACCACTCTACACTGCCAACAACAGGTGTGTTGTTAAGTGGTCATTCATTCACTTCCCGAGACCTGGATCCAGTCACACTAATCACATACACAGAGTGGAGGCAAACTCCATTAAAGCAACATTCATTTAGACACACCAACGAAATGAAGCACAATTTACAAAATATGCACCTTTCAGTATCACAACTATACAAAGGTTGTTAAAATATGATCCAGGTAAAAATGATACATTTCAGAAATCAGCTGTTGGCACGCAATAAAGGAAGAGGAACATTTCAGTAAAACTACTTTTGAAACATTGTTAAGAGGGTTCCATGATTAAAATTGTATTAACAGTTATTATCTACTTCATGGGGAAAAAGGGAGGTAATAATAAACTGGGTCAAAATTCATTAATCCTGAAAGCAAAATGTATCACGTCTGGATTTCCTGTGTCAACAACAGTGCGCCTTTCTTGAGCACACAGAGGACAAAGTAAATGTTGTCTCGACTCTCTCTACCGTCTAAATGTAGCACCTAATGGAAACATAGAAGGCAAATAGAAAATCTTCCGGGGAACAGCTTGTTAATATGGTGGAAATATGGGTTGACCTGGGAAAGAAACAAGGACTTGGTTGTTGTTACAATTCTCTCTAAAAACCAATTGTATGGCAATTATAGCCTCATTTACAAACATCAGTTCCAGTTACACCACCACATTACACAAGCTTTGTGAGAGAAAATGACAAATTACTTTGCTGGACAATCATTTCTGTTGAAAGGCAGCCATCCAAACAATTTAAACACTTTATGAAATTAATCCAAAAACTCTTTCAGAAGCTCTGCGAAAACGAAGAATCTGAAAATCCATTTAGACAATGTTTAATAACCTTTGTGACTCCACACCAAGAGAAACTTTCCTGAAAGCTGCTTTAAGATCTGCTTTCTAGCCATTCACATGCAAATAAGTCAACAGCTCGGAAAATATGCAAGGCATGAGACCTCTATGGCCAGCTAATGGAGAATCAGACATTCTCAAATTGAAATCCTAAAAAACATAATCTTATGATCTGATAAAGGTTCCTTGTGCTGTGTATATATGACACCTTGATCAGGAGGATGTTTAGAAGAGGACTTTTTAAATCACTCTCCAGTAACAAAGAGAAAACAATTAATGTCAAGATAAATTATAAAAGAAAAACATCCTGCTGTCAAGCCTTAGAGTAAAGAAAAGCAGGAAATGTGTGACCAGTGAGGCATGAATCCCTGCTAAATAAAAATACTCAAAACATGGCTGCTAGTCCCGTTTCCTTATCCCAAAACAGGAGGAAATGGATCTCTAAATGTGTCATTAATCAAGCCAAATGGCTGATTTCTTTCTCACAAAAGGCAAGTAAATGAGGACTTTATATAAACTTGCAAAACAAGACTGTATGATGTCAAGTTGAGTTCCTCATTGGTGGATCTGATTAAACATATAAACCAGAGGCAGTTTGCAACACCCATGTCATTTGAGACACAATGCATGCAAAAAGAAAAAAAGAAAAACATCAATGTAGGCAAGAAATCAATCCCACACAGTACAAAGCATCAACAAAATGCAAATTAATTAATAGCTAATTAGGTTGTTAAACATTCGGAGAAGAGTAGGAGTTTGCATGCATACTTATATCAGTGACCAAGTAATTCCTAGAGGTAATACAAAGTGGGAAAGTACACAGTGGCTGGGACATTTGGATCTCATCTGGCTGAATGTTGGTCCTTTCTTCAAATCTGGTATTTTTTGAACGGGAAACGGGATGAACGTTAATTCTTTGGCATCCCAAACTTAAAAAGGGCATTACAGAACGTTTGCAGGCCATGACCTTTTAAGCAAAGGGTGGGGAAATAACATTGAGTTTGTAATAAGTAATTTGTCAACCATTCGTTGTGATGCAATTAGCTCACAGCTTTGCATGTATATAAAAAAAAAAAAAAAAAATCAACATCGTCCTATAAAATCAAACAGGCTGTCGGACCAACACGTGGGCAACTGGCACTAAACTGAAAATAAAGCTTATTGGTGTCCATGTAGCAAATAATAGAAAGGCAGGAAAAAAGGGTCAGGTTTAGTATTCAGTATGGTGGGTATTGAGAAAGAGGCTAATAATTTAGTGTAATGTACAAAATGTTTTACTTAAACTGTTCAACATAGTTTTTTTTTTATTTTTTTAGTCTGTCTTGAAAAGGGGCAATTATTCACATAAGTGTACACTTTGTCTTGGACTTCTTTTTCTTCTTTTTGCCCTCCTTGCTCATCTTCTCCTTATGCTTCCGGATTTCTCGCACTAATGTGTAAAAGGCATCATCAACGCCCTGGGGAAAAAAACAAAAAACAATTAGAGTGACAGGTTATTACGACAACATAAACAAGGATGAAAAGAAAAACAAATATTAGAAAAACATTTAAAATGATTGACAATGTTTTTTGATTCAGAAGTGGTATTTTAAAGGCAGCCAAATTTAAAGGGTAATTCCACTTTATTGAAGAATTAGAACACAACAAAAAATACCAATCCACACTTGCTATTAATATCAAACTGATGTGTAGCCTTTAAGTGATGCACAGTAAGTTGTTTTCATACCATTTGTACATCTATGGCAGTTTAAATTGTATTATTTGGGCTTTTCTTTCCAATTCCAAACAAGAAAATATACTTAAATTGTCAAAAGGATCATCTTGGATAACATCAATTCCATCTTTACATCAGCTTGAACTCCATTTCTATCAAGTGTAGATCAGTGTGACAAAGTGCAGGTACATTTCCCAAATCATTTCAGCCTTTGTGCGACACAGAAGAACAGCGTACAGATAAACAAATGAAGTGTCATGTATTTCAGAATCAACACCAGCAGTGTTCCCCCTGACAACAACACTGACAGAAGCTGCGGTTACATGAGCCAATTTCTTTCTCACTGAATGCGATTAATCTAATTTACCACTCCTACAGTGCGTTTAAATATGTGCTCAAATAAATGACCGAACAAGTTGTCCTTTTTATATTTGCAATAGGTTGTGTACAGTCTGTCAAGCATTAAAGCACACACTTAAGAAAATGAGCCTTCATCCAGCGCTAGGTTACCGTTCTAAGCGTGTACTGAAAATATAATTTTCACAAAGATATTCTACTGGCAGCTTCATTTAACAGCCTTCTGTTTATCTCACTAAAACTAATACATATAAACTATTCTAATATTGTTCCCCTGGGAGGGAAGCGACTCATGGGGAAAAAGGTAGAAAACTCATAAGCGCCAAATAAAGAGAGGCAGGACTTCCTCAGGTAGTCAATTGATTCTGCACGAGGTGTCAAAATGAGGATTTTATATTCTGGCGGAGCTCTTATTCTGATTATTAGTGAATGAAAAGGCTCCATGTAAATGCAGCTAGCGTCTGTTGGTGCCACACTGAGGTAAGGCTGTGAGTACCAGAACAGTTTGTATAGTGAATACATGTGATGATGACTCTGCAAGGAGCTGCAGAGTTAGGAGCCTGAGGTCAATTAAAGGTTGTGACAAGACGGCAGGAAAGGAAAGAAAGAAGACTTTTTGTGGTCGCAAGAAAAACTTTCACCCACAAACACACAGGTTTTTTCACATCGTATCGGACAGTTCCTTGGACCACATCCTCATAGGAAACATTTCAGCAACTGATATGGTCCAGGATTCATCTCCTTTAATCACACATTGGCTCACCAGCTCTATAAACACTGTTTTTGTTGATTTCAGCAGAATGGGATGCTTTCACACTGGTTGTTTGGTTCAAACTCTAAACTAGTTTGCCAGGATATGTTTTTAAAATGAGCGCTTTTTCACAAGAGGAGTGCAGACAAAGTCAACCTCGGGGGGGGGGGGGGGAACGCAATCCTTTTCCCACAGGAAACAGTGGCCTTTTGACCAACAAAAGAGGAGATATGAAATATATCACTGGTGTATGAGCAGAGAAATCAACAACTTAAGGAGATGTTAGTGCTTTGCTCCTGTAGAATAAGACAAGTATGTGATTTGTCGTTTTTTTTTTTTTTTTTAAATAGGTTGTATTGCTTTAAATGTAGGTTTTCCTGACACTGCCCGCTTCTCAATTGTTCCTTGTGGAAACCAGGTTTAGTTCCTGATGAAAAACATTTGTTAGGATACGTACACCGAGAGCAAAACAAAAGTAGAAAGTGTGAAAGCAGACTAGCATGGTTAGCATAAAAGGGGAGGGGGCATCAAACTCGCTCAGACCCAAGTCAACAAACCCAGTGTGAATATATATTTTGATCAGCCATGATACACATACACATTGAAGAGGGGGAATCATCCCGTGTTTCAGCCTGCTGTCACAGCTCCACCACAGCCCCAGTAGAAACCAGCAGGTTAGCTTTGACCACCAGCTCTCACTGTGTGTCCGCTCACATTGCCTTCTCCAAAATCCCCACCAACACACACACACACATCCACACAGAGCTCGTGGGCGCGCGGCTGCATACACTTACCCCTTTCACATCACAACACATTTTTTAAGCTTGACACAGCGCGGAGTCTTTTCTTCCTTGCTGAGCTTATTGAGCCGGTACAGCCTGATCTCCCGTACCAGATTGTAAAAGGCATCTTCCACTCTCTGCAGTATGAGACACAACTTCCCTCAATGTTGAGGAATACAGGGGGACATACTGTATGGTGCATGTGTTACAGATACAAAGAAGCAAAGCAGATTTTGTTTTAGGTGGGTCTACCTGCAATGTCTGGCCTGCCTAAACATTGTAAATGTCCCCTCTGTGGGACGAATAAAGGTGTTCTGATAACCTGATACTCCACCCTAACTTGTGAATTAACAACACTCACCTCCTCCTATATGCTTGGAAAATGTTATGCGTCCTTCCTCTCAATTAAGTGCGAGTACGTGGATAGAACTCCTATGGTTATTAGTTTGTGAAATGGCTTCAATGAAGGTGTTGCCTTCATTAAAGCTGGACTCCATTCCATCTGAAATAAAAGGCTAACTTAAAATAAAGAAAATGTGTATGTCTTCAGTGGGTGAGTGACACACTTCAACAGTTAGGGTGGAGTATCACGTTATCAGTGTTGCCTCATATAAAAAGGAGAAGCGCATGCACGAAGAGCATATTTTGATTGTGTAGTATGCTGTAGGTGGGAGATTTCCCAGAGGAGCAAGAGGAAATCAGTGCAATTTGGCAAACACTGCTTTGAATGCAAGAGACAGTTGCTGTGCCGCCAGCAGCAGCGCCATGTGGACAGTGAATTATTGGTACACTCAGGTAGGAATAGATGAACAGAGCTGTGGGAAATGAATCATTGTGTCATTAATTTCCCCCGCACCAGAAGGAGCCGTGAATTACCCCGGGTCAGAGAAACCAGGAAAGTTTGTGTTTACAGATCACTGTCAGCCAGTCAGCCACCTGAGGCCATGCTCACAACACACACACCATTTGATGTACCTCCGCCACAGCAAACCTTCCAACACCCAGTGACAGTAACCAGTAAGCAGTAAGCAGAATCATTAGACCCCCCCCTGAGTAATTACTGACAGTTTGTCCTTTCATGCAGACTCCTTGACACACGTTTACTGATTGCTGATTATTTATAATGCAGGATCCTCTGCAGATGGCCCTAATTATGATATCATTTCATATTTCCGTGACAAAGTAGCATGCAACGATTACATTATCACCCATAAATAAAAAATTCAATTAACCAAAGAGGATTTAACGATGCGCAGCGCAATGCCCGAGACATTTCCAAGCAATGTTATAAAAGGGACCATTAGATGTGACACAAATCAACAGCACCACATGACTCAACACTTAAACTTTTCTCACGATGCAAGTGCCAAGATTATCAAGCCTGTGCAAGGACACTTGTCAAAATTACTATGAGCTTAATCTCTCTGGAACAAGAACATTTGAAGTGGACTGTATAGGACTGATATGTCCATCAAGCCAATTCTCCTGAGGCCACATTTAACTTATCACTATTGAACTTCGTCTCCAGATGTGCAGAGGAATACTCCAGCTGTTAAGTGGCAGACTGAAAAGTTAAAGTGTTTGAGTCGCGAGGGCGTGGCTGTCTTTAGCGGGACGCTCACCTGTCTGGTTTTGGCTGATGTCTCAATAAAGGGAATGCCGTAGCTGCGTGCTAAGTCCTGAGCCTGCTTGGTGTCCACTGTCCGGGACGGGAGGTCACACTTGTTCCCCACCAAAACCATGGGGACGTCCTCGGAGTCCTTCACCCGCTTAATCTGTTCTCTGGACATTGATACACAGAGGAAATGTCAATTCTCATCTAAAAAAGGTGATAATCCAATGGCTTTGCATCTGTTCAGAGTAACTAGAAAAGGACATAATCGTGGAACGAATATGTTATATCATTGGCTTTTGCGTAATGCTGCAACATATAGGACATTTATATGCAATTTATCTACAAAGTATATCATATTATAAAGTGTACAAATCTAAAGTTATGGCCAAAAAATATCAATAAAGAAAATTGTCCACAAAAAAACAATTGTGCCAAAACTCTTCATTAGTTCGATTTTTTTCCCACCAGCTGTGCTTGTCAAAACGTCACATTGCATTTAAAGGGTTATCAGCCATGAGTAACATGGTGCAAAGAGGTGATGTTGCAGGGCAAGGGTTAGCAATCAAACATCTACATTAAAGATCTTCAAAAATAATATCGTTACTTTTTGAGGCGTTTCCGTGTAGAGAAAAAGGGAATGACATGCACCTGGTTGGACTTAACCCCGGCACATTGCCTTCAGTCTCTCAGCTCACCTATAGTGGTGAATGTCCTCAAAAGACTTGGTGTTGTTGATGGCAAATACACAGAGGAAGCCCTCCCCTGTCCTCATGTACTGATCCCTCATGGCGCTGTACTCCTCCTGACCTGCAGTGTCCAGGATGTCCAGCAGACACGTCTCTCCGTCAATCACCACCTGCTTTCTGTAGGAATCCTGCAGGAGGAGGAGGAGGCCAGAGAGCGATAAGAATTATGGGATGAACCGAATGGTGTCTAAATATTGGCTTAATCAATATATGATAAAAAAAAAAAAAATTTGCATGTCATCATTTAGAGATTATTTATTTTCTTCATACTTAAAGCTATGATAAGTGTGTTTAAGGATATATTGTGTAATAGAAGTGGAGCATGGTTTTTCAAGTTGCAACATACTTTCTTATACATTTAAATAATGGCTCAATGATAAGAATAACAACATCATGATAAAGAAATGTAGATATTGAAACTTAATGTTCAGCAAATTGAAAAAATATTTATAAAAGATGTACTTTAATGACTTTTTTTAGGATAAACTTAATATGTGTTATCGTTTTATCATGAAAGGATTGTATGAAATGATTTTACAATTCACACTATTGTTCAACATTAATAAAAGTCTTGATTTTCATAGTGACAAAGCACTCCAGCTTTTCATCACACTGATGGCCACACGGAAATCTGATCCATTACAAATAATTACTGTCTGATCCAGTGAGCAGATTTAGTTTCAGATGTTATCTTTTATTCAAATAATCTATGGAGGAGATCTAACCTGCAACAGCACATCAAAACCTGAAGGAAGTCATGATGAGACGGTTTACTTAGCGTAGTTGGGCCCCCAGAGAAAAGGCAGGCAGACACACATGGAAAGTTATTAAAAACCAGTTTGGTGTCTTTTTAAGACTTAGACCAGAAGAACCTGCTGCAGGTCTTTTTTCTTTCTTAAACGTGTCTCCTTTTGCAGCCCCTATACTCAAATAGACACGAAAACATGGACCATCATGAACTTGACTGCAAACACGTTCACACTTGACTTTATGTACATGAACACAATGGTTTATTTACCTCAATGGTGGGGTCATATTCATCGACAAAGTGATTCTGGATGAGCTGAATGGTAAGTGCGCTCTTGCCAACACCACCAGCTCCCACCACTACCAGCTTATATTCTGTCATGATTCACCTGCAGGAACAAAAAGAAAAGCACATTAGATTCATATTTCCACAGTCATCTGGCACAGTTTCAATTCATCTGGTGCACCGTGTTAGTAAAAGACATTTCTCTCTGTGAATTTCTCAGTCTGCACTTAAGACGTTATATTCTTCTGTTGACTAATAAAGGATGTCTGATTCTGTGTATGGTTAAACTCTTTAGAGTACTGAATTGCCGCTTAAAACTTTTTTGTAAATTAGCTTCATTTCTGTCCAACAAGCTGTCAGTTTGCCTGGAAACTTGCATCTTTAGGATTGGCCGACTGATGTATCAACATCACTTCCCATGAGTAACTTATACTCCTAAAAAAAAAATTCAACGATTCTTTAAAAACAACTGCTGATTCACTGGAAAACTAGTTTCAATGCCATCATCTATATATTGCCTCATATATAAAATGCAGATTTTAGTAGTCAACAAGAGGCCTGAGGAATAAACTACAATGTGATACAAATGTGAAAATTAAGATATTTAAAAACATAGACTGCAACTCAATTCAGGAAGAGTTTTCATAATAAATCATCATCAACCCTGAAAAGTATGTTAAATGTTGACAAACCACTACTTCAACATTCATTTAGCAAAGTTTAACGAGATTCTCAGGCACACAAATTAAGCTTTATATCCCTAATACTGAAATAAATTAAGATAGTGAGAACAGCCTCCCTGTACATGTAATAATTGTCTGATACCTGCAACACATCAGTGGAATTGTATGAGTAGCAGCAGCACAACAGAAACGAACCCCAGGCAAAAATCTATGACATTACATTAAGGCTCCAAAATTGACATGCCACTGGGAGGCTGACTGCTGTCTGACTGCTTTGTTGAGCAGCAGCCATCAATAGTGGTGGCTGGCCTTTTCAGAAGTTACAGTACATACTGCTCACAGCCTGCAGTCAGGGAGGAGTTCAGCTGAATATCATTGCCTTTTCTAGACAAACAAAAAGGAGAATGTTGTTTGATAGGTATTTGCAGCGACAAAGGTATACTTTACTGCATGTCACATATTATACCAAACACAGCCTATAGTTTACAAATATTACAAAGAGGCTGTTCTGTCCATTATAAACAGTCTTATCTTTACCTAAAGAGATAAGACTACTGACAATGTCACAGACCATTGTAGCAACAATTGTCTGACACATGCTTTCCATGCCTGTAAAAGTACTATGACGATTCATCTTATTAGGCACTGAAAGTGGCTTTAAATGACTAACTAAAGCATGTGTATTTTTAGCAACAAACAAGGATGTATGGGAGGAATACGGCTTATTTATGGCCCAGTTATAAAGTAACCTTTCACAATCATTTGGGTTGTAGGAGAGTTAAAACATTAACCTTGAATAGGTTTCCGTGTGTTACCTCAAATTTGACAAAGTTATGATGCTGTGGGATTTAAATGGAAAAATATTTCTGACTCATTCTCGTGTTTACAGCATCTGGATGGCATCAACCTTTTTATTTACAACATCACTGACAACAACACTATGACCAATGAATAACTCGATTTTTCAGACAATACTCCACCAGAATAATTACCAAAAAGTGAGGACGTAGGGAGAAATTATCCACTGATAAGCAGCTATTTAAATGAATAGTAGGCTATTCGTAGCAGTTTGTTACCAATGTGAATTAGCCGAGCTTTAAACAGGCCTTTCAACGAAAGCCCCAGCCCTGGGTTCAAGCAGGCAAAAACACACACAGCAGGCTTATAAGTCACAGGAATTTGATTTAAATCCACTGCTCTGTACCCGCAGGGGTTGCCAGATTGGTTGTGTGAAAACCTCTGAACACTGTTTAAATAACCAGGCTGCTGTGCTGATAGCTAGCTTAGCATTGGGGCTCGCCCACAGCCTCTAAATAAAGCTAACTAGTCCCTTTCAGCTAAACTAATATAATTTACAAACTGTAATTATTTAATGCTATATTGTCTGCACCATATGCCCGAACAAAGTAATTATTATTCATTCAAAGGGGAAGGGTGCATATTCTGAAGCCGCCATTGACAGGCTAGCCCAAAGGTCTGCATTGCAGGGCCAGGCGTTAGGTTAACAATTGGGCGTAGTTTGCACTGACAACGACATTTCCCCCCCCCATTATAATGCTATTGATCAGTGGTTATATGTGTGGAAAACTCACTTATCTTATACTTTAGTGGTTACAATGTTGCAAAAAACCGCAAGTGACACACATTTATAAAATGTATCCATTTGATTTACCTTTTAGCGAGTGGAGTTCCGCGTCCGAAGTAGCGACCAAATAAGTCAAGCTGATAATCCTCTCGTTTCACACGATCTCTGCATTTCCTATTTCACACCGAAACGCCCGCATTTAAGTCGGTCTACCTCGTATCAAAAGCAAGTGGGAACATGCAAAAACGTGGGCAAATTAATCGATTGAACTTTCCATCTGTTCCAGCGTCCGGCCTAGCTACTCAGGTTGGCCTCCTTAAAGCGAATATGGGCGGATACCGGGGCGCACTTTACCCAGAAAGCATAGCTGGGGATTTCAACCGGTTTGGGGCATATCGCTGCTCTGTGTCGCAATGTGGCCAACAATACGCTCTCTTTTGTCCTTTGTCAACATACTATTGGTGTTTTTATTATAATAAACTATATGTTAGCTATAAAAAAACAGTGATCCTTCAAACGTAGCCTCATACACACGTTATTAGGATCATTTGAAATGTTAAAATTGTTTTTTTTATTACATATCATTGGAAGTACTTCATCCCATTAATAATGTAATGATCAAACATAATATTGTAACTCTGTGGGTCACATGGTGTCAGTTTCCTTTCAGTATCGTGATCCCTTACTGCTGCCTGCTGCAGAGTCAACAAAGCCTAGGGGGCGACTCCACTATATATAGGGTCTAAATATAACCGAATAGTGCTGGAGGGACGTCATTCCCAGGCAAGGGAAATGATTTGGCAATCCCATGTCAGTTTTCCAAAGTGTTCGCTGGGCTGCCTCCTGCGCACTCTTTACGCATAAACACATGCACCATTCGTTAAAAAACAAAACAAAACGAAAATTCACACTGATTAAGAACGATGAGACCAAAGTATGGACTAATGCACATTTACTTACTTGGTTGATTAAGTTATTTAATGACGAAAATTCATGTGAGGGAATTGCTCTTTTAAAAGAAGCCGTAAGCTTACAATTAATATAATATTATGATGTATTCATTCAAATGAATAGCCTGCTGCAATTATACAAAAATATGTACGGCATAAAAGGCCATTACAAAATATAAAAGAAACACCGTTCGACTTGTGTTTTTTTTTGTTTTACTTCACACAGCAGACACACTAGAGGTCACTATTGAATTCTTGTCTAGCAGTTCTCCAAGCTGCAAGCCTCTGCCGAGAATATGTTGTTTGGAATAAGTAAAGGCCCTTTTTAAATCAAAGTGCCAACTGTTTTTATTCTCAAAACAGTATTGGTTATGTATTTCATGTTATCTAAAGGGAAAAACTGGTTATTCACATAAGAAAGTTAAAATAAAATGTGCATCTTGTGCAAAACGATTATATCAGAAGAAATCTGTGTCTGCTGCTTATGTGCCTGTGTCCTTAAAAATGACCGACATAGTGCCCTCTGATAGTGAGTGGTTCATTAATTAGGACCAATGTCAACATTTGTGTCCATCTATTATATTTTATCTATTGTAATACTGCATAGGCTACAATTGGGTGCTTCGGACTGGGACTCCAATACAAGCTATACAAATTTGTATTTTTTTAAAGTACAGAAATCACAACAAGGATTTCATAAGGAACACATTGGTTATCAAATCTATCTGTACTAAAGCTGCAGGTCCGCTGCAACTCTTACTACTTTTAAATCCAGGCTGAAGACTTATCTTTTTGTCGCTGCTTTTAATTGAAACTGAGCTGTTCTGTTCATCAGCAAAGTGGAACTTTTGTGTGAACTATTCATATCTTAAACTGCACTGTAACTTTTTATTCATGTACGTTTTTATTCATGTACTTTTTATTCATGTATTTTTTCTTTTAATGTTTCTTTTATTATGTTTTACTGTTTTTAAGGCCTTTGTCTGAATGTCTTTCATTTTTGTAAAGCACCTTGAATTGCCTTGTGTTGAAAGGTGCTATATAAATAAACTTGCCTTGCCTTGCCTTGCCTTGTACCCCTGTGGTCTGCATGGAGCCCCGTTTTTGTAAGATGAGGGTCAATGAGCACATAGTATGTGCAGAGTATAGTGATACGACCATATTTGAGACTGGAATTGCGTGTTAATTATCCCATTTTGTAATATGTTACCAGCTTCTTTTATTCACATTTCAAATAAATGTTTTATCCAGGATTCAAACATATAATAGGATGTGATGAAACATAGAAATGTTTTTCAATTAAATAGTTTATAGTTAGACATTCATATTGGAAATAAACATATTTTCTTGCAGAATGGTCCCATTTACTGAGACACTAAAGAGCAATCATTGAAGTTATTATTTACACCTGTTATTTTTTTTAATGGTTTGAGATTAAAATGGTATTCATAAATTATGACTTCATTTTTTGAAATGAAGCCCTTATGTCTATTTTATGAAGAGACTTCATGTTCAGAGAATAAAATGGTTAACCTGACCTGCAGTATTTAACCAGATTGGGTTACTTTAACCGCAATATTTCATATAAAAGACAATTTTTAGAGATATGACAGTTCCAGCTGACATTTCAATACAAGAGGAAATATGTTCTGTCACAAGAGGGCAGCAAGTCTCCACTGATGCATGGTCCCGTTGTCAAAGGCCTATCTGCCCCGCAGTTAAATGCTGTTTGTTTTAATTCACTATTCATTTTACTATTTGTTGGAGCTGCACAGTGACTAAAATAGCTGCCACTTTAAATATATGTTCATGTCGGTTAACCCCTAATATAACATGTTTAAATGTGCTACTCTATATTATTAACAATACATAATGACTTGATCCTTCTTTGCCTTTATGGTATGCTGAAATATATTAATTAATTTAAACTGCATGGTATAATTTGCAATTTTAATTTAAGATTATGTGTTGCAATTGTATTTCATAACATTGGTCTCTCGGAAAACAGATGAATGATGACCACTTTCACTACATCTGCATAATGTTAAATCCTGAATGACTCTCGTGGCCTCTTATTCATTAACAAAGTTTACGCAAGTAAAACTGCACATTTCAATTATCTATCAATGATTGATTCGGTTTTGCTCATAGCAACTGCTTATGTTAGTATGTTAATTTGGGTTATATTTGTATAAGATCAGGTATCAGGACCCCCTTTATTGATCCCTAGAGGGGCAATTCAGGTGCTACATTAAGACAAAGAAAGACATGTAGCCTTAAAATAGTAAACATAAAATAAAGATGTGTATACCAGAGTTTAAATTATATGTAATGATCCATGTTTGTTGGAAATATGCTGTTAAGATGTCCTGGATGTGTAAAAGTTGGCTGAAGGTGGCCTCCCCTCAGAGTGTATTGCCGCTTTAAACGGTCCACAATGCCTTGCGGTGTCCCAGTTCCAATGCGATGTATTTACCAGCAGGAGTAATGAAACGGGGAGAGGGGCTTTTTCCGCAGCTTAATGCTGAGACCTTATGCTGAGACCGCAGGATACCAGCACACAGAGAGGATAGACAGACACAAACTTTCGGACAGAGGACCGAAACGTCATTTATCTGCTTTGCATGCGTCGGTAGTCTTTAATTCAGTTTTGTCTGTCCAGCAGCCAAACGATACTTTGTCGCAGTTCGTTGGAAGTGATTTACTGGGCAACGGTAAAGAAGAACACATTTTGCGGATTTGACGCCTTTACCTGTGTTTTCCCCCTAAACTTCACTTCGGATAGGGAGCACAGAGTTGAATCCCATTTGCTCCATAAAGGTAAGAACATTACACGGACCTAATAATAGCAGAGTGTGCTGCAGCTGAGCCCGTTGTAGTTGTGAGGCTGAGATAACGGAAACATTTCTGTAGTAGAATAGTTCGGCTATAGCCTACTCTGTGAGCCCACTACGGCCCTTTATCGCCATTTCTCCAGCCTCGTCCCACTCAACACAGCAATATGAGGCAGCGGTGCAGTGAAAGATGCTGAAGTGTTCTGTCTTGTGGGATGTTAAAGGCTAATGCTGCTTTTCATTTGTAAATATGAGAGATGGGATGACTTGGAAACAAGTTTAGTTGGATGATCAAGCCTTTATCTTGTGTGTTTTCGCAGCAGGCTATATGTTTTGTCTCATAAGTGTTGCATAACGTTGCTTTGCAATTTTTTCACAGTTTTGTCTATCATCAGATTGAGCATCTTCTGTAAATATAACGACCTCTCTTGGTTTGAAAAATCTTGCATTCATCCTTAATCACAACAACATTGAGGTATAAAATCGCTTCTTCCATCTCAAGTTGCATTGCTCCACATAACTTACTAACACACACCAGGTGCTGCAGAGCCAACCTGTGGAGCTGCTGCACTCAGCCAAGTTTTATGTCACACAGTACACTTTGTGATCCAGAGGCCTGCTTTAGTTCAGAAATAGAATCCAGTATTTCAGTGGCCCTTCCATCTGATAATGTCACAGCACCATGAAGACCAGGCTGCAAAGAACCACCCACAGACTGGAAACATAAATAAGTGTTGCCACTTTTGTGTGTGCAGGTGCCACTTACTGCACACACAAATTCAGTTCTATAAATGTTTAAAAATGCAAGAGTGTGATTCGGTAGATGATGTTTTGCAAACCACTATACAGTAACATGTAAACCTTGGTTAGGGGCCTCTTGTGGCCCCGCTGAGCCTCTGCCCCGGCCCTGGAGCCTGCTAGCTCTTCAAATCTGGCTAGAGAGCAGTGAATATGGCAAGGGAACAAAGGCGGCATTATTGCTGGCCGAACGTGCCGTCCAGATGTTCAGGATCCTGCCAGCACTGACCTCCCAAATGGGGGAGGCCGCTCCAGTCCCTAATAGTTTAATATCATCCAGGCAGAGAGAGAAAGAGGTAGGCTGCTCCAGGGCAAGAGCCTCTGGAAAGCTCTCGGGAGCTCAGGGTGTAGCCTCTAGCGTGACAACTCTGGGTTTAATCCCAAACACCCAGGTCTTCAGAAAAGTGCAAGAACGAAATGTGAAATAGGAACTTCATTCTGGTCAATGCCTCCTTCTTTGTTAATATAACTTTGGCAAAAAACAACAAACTCTTCCCAAAAGCTTAACATAAAACATTGTTTAATGAAATAGGCCTACATTCCTTTCTGCTTATAAATGCTGCAACCTCTTTTATCCTCTGATTAAGTGGTGGTCTGTACAATGTCTCCCTTAATTATGTATTAATTAATCTATTTAGCAGGCATTATGGCTTGTCTTGGGGTAGAGGCTAATGCAACTTAGACACTAAATTAACTGAGAGGAGGCTGATATTGTGCGCAGCAGCAGCTTTTAGGAAACTTTACTACATCTCTTTTATTTCAGATGCATCAA